TTAGATATGTGCAATAGAGTTGATTACATTAGGACTCCTTTTAAAGAGCAAAACTTTATTTCTTAATTCACATCACCTAGCACACAACTTTGGTACAGAACAGAAGATAAATGTTTGTTAAATGAATTCACCTGCTGACCTTACATAGATACTAAAATATTTTATAAAAGTTTCCATTGTGGAAGACAGTGTGGCAATTTCTCAAGGATCTAGAAATAGAAATTCCATTTGACCCAGCAATCCCACTACTGTGTGTATACCCAAAAGATCATAAATCATTCTATTATTAAGACACATGCTCACATATGTTCATTTAGACCTGGAACCAACCCAAATGCCCATTGTTGATAGACTGGACAAGGAAAATATGGCACATATACATCATGGAATACTATGCACCCATAAAAAATGATGAGTTTATGTCCTTTGTAGGACATGGATGAATCTGGAGACCATCATTCTCAGCAAATTGACACAAGAGTGGAAAATCAAGTACAGCATGTTTGCACTCACAGGCGGGTATTGAACAATGAGAACGCATGGACACAGGGAGGGAAGTATCACACACTGGGGTCTGTTGGAGGGGAGTTAGGAGAGGGACAGTGTGGGTTGGGGAGGATGGGGAGAGATAACATGGGGAGAAATGTCAAATATAGGTGATGGGGGGATGGGGGCAACAAACAACGTTGCCAGGTATGCACCTATGCAACAATCCTGCATGATCTGCACATGTACCCCAGAAACAAACGTACAATTGAAAAAAAAGGAAAGAAAAAAAAGTTTGGGGAATAAATGAGCTCTTTTTTTTCCGTCTAGTTGTGTTCTATACCTAATTTTGGATACAGCAAAGAAAAGAAGCAAGGACAGTTTAAGAATGGAAAATTTAATCAGAAAGTGGAGAGGAAGAGAAAAATTCTATATAGGGAAAAGCAGAATACAGGCTAAGTAGTTGTAGAATTACCCACAGGTTGCCTACCAGCATAAACAGATCAGAGAAAGTTGAACCAAAGTATTTTCTGATTCAAAAGGGAGGTGCTAAATTAACAGGAATATCAGAAATGACTAAACACATAAACATTTTTAAAGAAAATACTTGAACAGGCTCAATGTTGGCATGATTAAAGCTCTATAAATTCAGATAGAGCATTATCATATATCTGTTTTAACAAGCTGATCTACATCTGGCCGTCTGAATTTAGTATAGAATCAATGCAATTAAACATAAATGATTAGTCACAAGGTACCAGGATGTATGTTGGCATCAGGAAAGCAGGTGTGCATGGGTGTATACCAGCCTTACGTTCTCTATTCTCAAGGAGTTAAATATCTAGCAGAACAAAAATAATTGAAATAAACTGGAAAAGGCTGTCTAACAAGTGCTGTACTACTTGGTTTGAATATTGCAAAGAGAGGATTTTAAAGGTCAATAGTGTTTTTAAATAATAGAAAGCTAATTGGACTTGATCCAGAGTCCCTTGAAGTAGACACTCATATTTTATTTTTAGAAAGGAAGATGACTGAAAAAAATTATGTGATGAAAGTTATAATATTGTGAGTTAAAGTTTCAGCCTTCGTCTATATAATCATTGGCCTTCTTTGCAAAGTTCATGATGGCACTCTGTTTTTCACTGGATAGATATGTGAAGAAGGCAGAAGAGAAAAGCACCTCATTCAATTTTCAGGATACGGAGAATCATTTTATGAAGAGCTGGTGTCCTTCTAATGGAGAATGAAATGGACCTTGTCTTTGGAAAGATGGAGATGTAATAATTATCTTAAAGTCCTTTTGAAATAATCATTTTAATAATATTCAATATCTCTTCAGATTGAATGAAAAGGGTAACAGAGTTGGGAAGATAATGTCACTCATGAGGAATTATTTGAAATTCTTGACCCCAAAGGACATGAATTAGCTTTTTCAATTTTATCCTGGAGATGGGCCATTATAAAATAAATTTCAAAAATAAGTACAGAAGAAATAAACAAAAGCCCATGATTTTTGAGAGCTCTTCATGTAATTTTACTCAATATATGTGATTAATTTAAAATATAAAATGTGACAATTTTTAGAAGTTTGTAACAGTTTCCAAATATACGTCTTATATTGAAACAGTTATTGTGAGATCCTGCTTTGGGATCAGAAGGTAAGTTTAATTCATAGTTTTTAAAATAGATTTTGGGCTGGGTGTGGTGGCTCAACCCTGTAATCCCAGCACTTTGGGAGGCCGAGGCGGGCGGATCACGAGATCAAGAGATCGAGACCATCCTGGTCAACATGGTGAAGCCCCGTCTCTACTAAAAATAAAAAATTAGTTGAGCATGGTGGCACGTGCCTGTAATCCCAGCTACTCAGGAGGCTGAGGCAGGAGAACTGCCTGAACCCAGGAGGCGGAGGTTGCCGGGAGCCGAGATGGTGCCATTGCACTCCAGCCTGGGTAACAAGAGCGAAACTCTGTCTCAAAAAAAAAAAAAAAAAAAAAAGTAGATTTTATCTTTTAGGGCAGTTTAGGTTTACAGCAAAATTGATCAGAACTTACAGAAATTTCCTGTTTACTCTGTTCTGACACATGCATAACCTCCCTCATTATCAACGTTCCCACCAGAGAGATGCATTTATTACAACTGATGAATCTACACATTAACATTCAGAGTCCATAGTTTACATTAGAGTTCACTCTTGGTGTTGTGTATTCTATGGGTTTAGACAAATATATGATGGCCTGTATCTACTGCTACAGTATCATATAGGGTAGTTTCACTGCTCTAAGAATCCTCTGTGTTCCGCCTCTTCATCCTTTCCTTGGCCATTTCCTGACAACCTTGGATCTTTTTACCGTATCCATAGAAGGGCCTTTTAGAGAATGACATATATTGGAATCATGCAGTGTATACCCTTTTTAGTTGGCTTCTTTTGCATAGTAATATTCATTTAAGATTCCTCCGTATCTCCTCATGGCTTGGTAGCTCATTTCTTTTTAACCCTGAATAATATTCCACTGTCTAGATGGACCACAGCTTATTTATTCATTCACCTGGTTGCTTCCAAATTTTGGCAATTATGAATGAAGCTGCTGTAAACACCCATGTGTAGATGTTTGTGTGGACATAAGTTTTAAATTCCTTTGGGTAAATACCAAGGAGCATGATTGCCGGATTGTAAGGTAAGAGTAGGTTTAGTTTTGGCCTGGCGTGTTGGCTCCTGCCTGTAATTCCAGCACTTTAGGAGGCCGAGGTGGGTGGATCACTTTATGGTCAGGAGTTCCAGACCAGCCTGGCTAACATGGCGAAGCCCCATCACTACTTAAAATACAAAAATTAGCCTAGCGTGGTGGCAACAATTCTGGAGGCTGAGCAGGAGCATCACTTGAACACTTGAGGTTGCAGCGAGCCAGGATTGCGCCACTGCTCTGAGCCTGGGCTACAGAGTGAGACTCTGTCTCAAAAATAAATAAATAAATAAATAAATAAATAAATAAATAAATAAATAAATAATAAATAAAAGGAGGTTTAGTTTTGTAGAAAACTGCCAAACTACGTTCAAGGGGCTGTGTAATTTTGCATTGCAACTAGAAATAAATGAGAGTTCCTATTGCTCCACATCCTCATAAACATTTGATGTTGTCAGTGTTCTGGATTTTGGCTATTCTAGTAGGTATGTGGTAATTATTGGTAGGTATGTCATGATGCCTTGCTATTTTCACTTCATAGAGTTTTAGTCTTTTGTTTCTTTTGTGTTTTTACCCTAATTACATAAAGTGAAGTCGTCTTTTCTCTTTCAACTGAATAATGAACTGTCTTCATAAGTCATTGATTATTGGAGTATGGAAGTAAAATAAGATTTAAAAAAAAGAAAAAATGAGAGCAGCACAAATACAGTTCTGTTAGAGGTTTATACTTTTCTACCTGTAGGGCAAATGCATAGCTGATTCATACACCCTTCCTCATGTTGGATCAGTGGACTCTGTTCTCACAGTTTGCAGTCTGGTTGAGAGAGCCAAAGAAGGAGTCTGCATTTTGCTGCTTTCTATATCACTGTGATCCACTGGGATTGACAACTTGAAGGCTTCTATCAATAAAGTGATAGAACCCCTGTGTGATGTAGGTTCATTCTTAAGGAGGAACATGCATTTTCTTATTGGATAACTGGGCTACATTTTGTTCCTTCATTTTTGGAAGTAGGTGGTAATTATCATTTCAACATTTTTTTATCTCCTTAATTTCCAGTACCTGAGTGCTTGTTTTTCCTGAGTTAATGTTACTTCTGAAGAAGGATTAGTGAAAGCTTCGCTCTAAGGAATGATAATAAAAATAAACTAATTGATGAATAAATAAGTGAGGCATGAAAAGAAACTAAGAAATGCATTTTAAAGGTTGTAATATAATAACTTTCAAAGGCATATGAAAACTCTTGATACATGTTGGAGAAAATAAAATCTGATTCCACATCTTATTTTACTTTACAGCTTGGATAATATTTGTGTAAACCAAATTTTCACATTTTTTCATACTCATCATATGAACAGGACTATTGGGTCCTAGGCTTAAATAATCACTGAACAGCAAACTAATTTTTTATTTGTTCACTGATTTAAATGTTTGTGTCCATACAAAAACCAGGATACACATTCACTTATAATCATAATAAATTGGAAGTAATTAAGATGGCCTTTCACAGGGTAGATAAACAAACTGTAGGACATTTATACAATTGGATACTATTAAATAATAAATAATAAACCATCAAGTCATGTTAAGACATGGATAAGTGATAGATCATATTGGTAACTGAAAAAAAGCCACTCTAAAAATATATATACTGTATGATTCCTTTAACTGACTTTCCTAGTCACTTGGGTTGATCTAACAAAGTCCCATAGGTTTGGTAGCTTATAAAAAACAAGCTTGGCCATTCGTCGTGGCTCATGCCTGTAATCCTAGCACTTTGGGAGGCCAAGGCAGTACTTTTTGTAGGACTAGGAAGTCTGAAGCAATGGTACCTATCTTTGCTTCTCCTTGCATCTTTCTGTTTTGTCATTTATTTTCAAAACGAGAGAGAGAGAAAGCATGAATGATGTGCCAAGCGTTGCTCTAGTTTCTGGGAAGGAAAGAGTAGAAAAAATAATCACAGTCTTGGTTCTTATGCAACTTCAACTCTTAACAGCAAAAGTAGACATCTTACAAATTTAATTAATTTCATCGGACATACTATTATGAATACAAGTTTCTGTAGAAGCATATGCTGAAGGACCAAGACATATGAAATTCTCATTATGCAATTTACATTTAAGGCAAATAACTAAAATAAGGGATACACAGTAATAGAACAAGATATAATTTTTTAAAACTTCAGCTGTTTCTTCAGAGGAAATTTTGATAATGCGAGAAATGAAGGACTTCAAAATAAAGGAGACTTAGATAGCTCTCAATAGTAAATTACATTCTCTCTGCCAAATGCCAAGGGCATATCTAAAGTTTCTTACATTGTAGCAGTAGAGAGAACAGGTATACTCATATAGTAGTGGCAAGTTTTAACATAAATAAATATGAGCCATTATCTAGCATTTACAATGATTTTTTTTAATGTATGCAATGACAAATGGCAAGTAAAAAGGCTATTGTTTCTGAAATATAATTCTTGATTACTTCATACCTCTAAGCTTCAACTTTGATAGAGATGGAAAAATTTTTCTAACTCCCACATCAGCCATATCATAAAGAGTTAGTGGTTTCAATTAAAACATTACAGACTAGATGCAGCCAGGTGGAACAACTCCCAATGAAGGACCAAGACCACTGGCGTGCTCCTAACACGTCTTCGGAGGGAAGGCACAAAAGCTGGGCTGAATGGGGAAAGCTAGGAAACTTGCATGGGGCTACCACACGCCAGAACTCGTGAAATAATTGTTAAGTCACAAGTAAGGACAAGAAGAAGGAAACAGCTGTGGACATATTTGAGTTAACAAAAAACCTACCAAAGTTATTTTTTGCAGGAACAATGCAAAATGTAGCTTGATTGGGAGCTGTTTCATGCACAGTGCAATCATCACTGCCTTTTTTCTTTGCTTTTTTTGTTTTTATAACAGGCATGTATACACTCTTCTTTGGGACACAAGGAATTAATTATTCACTGAGAAGTAAACAGGTTGTGATTAAAGAAGAGTGCTAAAGGCACAAATAGCAAGATGCTTAGAGTCACTGTGTAAGGATAAATTCATTAACTTGGTTGAATGGATTTAGGATTGGGAAAAGTTTTATGTGTGTTATTTTGATGTGCAAGGGCACATTTTTTTCTTCACAGGAACTGAAGATTTTTGGAGTAAAAGTCCAATGCTCCAAGTAAGTATTCAAATTACCTTAAAAATTAAAATGATATTTTTGCCAGAAATACCTACCTTCCCACTATTATTTTAGCTAAAAGCAGCCTTGCTCTTTTCTGAATTTCTCTGAATTTACCACCAGTTAGAACCTCATAATTTACTATAGTTTGGTTTATCTTTATGTTGCTATTGCATATACATCATTGACATCTACACTACATATATATTTGTGTTATAAAGAAATTTTCTAATTTAAAACCACTCTACAGTAATACTTTTCTAATTTCTACTGTTTAGCTCATAGCCTTCAAATAATGAGTAGTAATGCTATTTTATAAATTGATGACATGAGAAATAAATGAGTAGTAAATTAAAAGTATTTAAAAACTAGGCACAATGGCTCACACCTGTAATCCCAGCACGTTGGTAGGTCGAGGCTGGTGGATCACTTGAGGTCAAAAGTTCAGGACATTCCTGGCCAACATGGTAAAAACCCATCTCTACTAAAAATATAAAAATTAGCCAGATGCAGTGGCAGGTGCCTGTAATCCCAGCTACTCGGGAGACTGAGGCAGGAGAATCACTTGAACCTGGGAGGAGGAGGATGCAGTGAGCCAAGATCATGCCATTGCTCTCCAGCCTGGGTAACAGAGTGAGATTCCCTCTCAAAATAAATAAATAAGCCTTTATTTAAAAAAATTACCTATGATATGGCATTTATTTTATGAAGATGATAAAGCACATTTTTGGAAAAAGGTATGTTGGTTATATGAGGGAGACCTTTAGTAAAATTTGAGAAGAGAATGTGCTCAGATAAGTTTTTAAAATGGATGGGTAAGTGGGTAGCAAAGAAAAAAGAATTAAAGATTTCTGGATAAGTTTCAAAATAAAATTTTAAGAAAGATACTTATAATAAAATAAGATATCAAAAGAAAAATATATATTAGCAATGTGGATCTACCTAGTAACACATTTTCTAGAAGATTCTGACATTGGAATAAACCAGAGGAACCATGAGATTTTTCAAAATTTAGAGAGGAACATGAAGGCACTACTAACCAGAATTTAAGTTTGGACACTTAATCTTATTATTGTGGCGGAAGATTTGGTAAGACTTAATAAAAAGAGTGAAATAATTTGATATGTAGACCTCTTTTAGATTTCTTAGACTCTAAAATTTGAAAGAAAAATAGGAATCTTTTCTAATCACAATAGATTATAAGAGGGTATATAGATTAAAATAATAACATATGTCAAAATAAATTTGTGAGTAATCAAAGCCTAAATAGTCTTTTCTCTCTTAAGCTGGATTAATAAATACAGCAGCTTCTTTAACTCACTTTTAGTTTTTCAACCCCAAAATTAACTCTTTCCATGGAAGCTGAGAGTTCTTAAGTCAATTAAACATATAATTTTGCCTTTGCCTTAATTCATTATAAGTTTTATTATGCATCAATAGAGGTATTGATATCGATAGATTTGTGTCATTTTGTTTTTCTTTTTTCTCTGATATTTTATATTTATTACCCACATACCTAATTCATTGTCTAAGCATTCTAAAAAATGATTTTCAGAAAACCATTTACTATTCATTCCTCAACAGGATGGATCATATGTATTCAGAAGGTATGTATTATATCATATAATTTTAAGTTTGTCTGTTTAGAATATAAAACAAAACCTCAGAGATAAAAATTTCCAGAATGGATAAACTAGTTTGTTCTTTGTAGATTAAAATAAATCATATTAGTATATCATTGGATGATATGTACACAATCTTCATCTTATCACACTATAAAGTTAGTGAGCAGTCCAGAAGATCAACCTCACTTCTGATACTACCCGCAAGTTTGATGATTCCTGAGACCACCCTGAGTTGCAATAATTCACAAGAAGGAATAATAGAACTGAGTGAAAGCTGATTTTATCATGATTACAGTTTATCATAGTGGAAAAATACAGATTAAAATCAACCAGGGTAAGAGATGCATGGAACAGTGTCCATGAAAGTTTTGCTTCTAGTTGTCTTTTTCCAGTGGGGTCAGGGACAATCCTAACTTTCTTGATAGTAAAGGTGACAATATGCATGAAATATTTGCAGCCAGAGAAGCTTACCCAAGCCTTGTTACACAGAGCTCTATTGAGGCGCAATCACATAGATATAGTTGACGGATTCTGTGGCTGACTTTAGCCTCCCCACCCTCCGGATGTAGAGCAGATACAACATGGACCAAATTTCCACTATAAGTCACATTGTTAGACTATTGCTATGGCCTAAGGCTTTCAGGAAAAGCAAAACAAAAGATCAGGATGAATGTTTGTTATATTTTCAGTGTTTGGTGTAATATATTTAAAATAGTAATATTGCCAGTTTTAATTTGATTTATATTTAAGCAGGTCCATCATATTTGTGGAAAAATATTTTTTAAATGTAAGGGAAAAAATTGGCACTAGAGATAACCATAATGATATTGCCAATTTATGCTATTGTATGTTTATATGCATATGTGTGTATAACAAAATATAATTTTACTTTTTAAAATATTTTAATTAACAAAAAAAGTATATATTTATTATTTACAACATTATGTATTGAAATGTGTATACTACCATTCTACTCTCTACTTTTTTGAGTTCAAATTTTTTGGATTCCACATATATAAGATCATGTGTATTTATACTTCTGTTCCTGGCTTATTTCAGATAATGCAGGGTCCTGCAGGGTCCTACATGTTTATCCATGTTGTTGCAAATAAGATAATTTATTTCTGTTTTAAGGCTGAATAGTATTTCATTATGTATATGTGCCACATTTTCTTTATCCATTCATCTGTTGATTAACACAGGTCGATTCCATATCTTGGTTATCATGATAATGTTGCTGCGAACATGTGAGTGCAGATAGCTTTTTGACATATTGATTTCAATTGCCTTGAATACATACCTAGTGGTGGGATGGCTGGTTCATATGGTAATTCTATTTTTTGTTTTCTGAAAAACCTCCATACTAATTTTCATAATGACTGCAATAATTTTACATTTCCATCTAAACAGTGTAAGAGGTTTCTTTTTTCTCCACATCCTTGACAGCATGTTATCTATCAGCTTTTTGGTAGACATTGTAACAGGTATGAGGAAGTATTTCATGTTATTTTAATTTTCATTTCCCTAATGATTTATGAGATTGAGCATTTTTTCATATAATTTTTGGCCACTTTATGTCTTCTTTTGAGAAACATATGTTAAGGTTCTTTGTCGTTTAAATTGGGGTAAGTTTTCTTGCAAAGGAGTTGAGTTCTTTAAATATTTTGGATAGTAACCTTTTACTAGATGTATCATTTGCCCATATATTCTCCCATTTCTCTTTGCTTTGTTGGATATTTGCTGTGCAGAAACTTTGTAGTTCAATATATTCTTATTTGTCAGTTTTTGCTTTGTTTGCCTGTGCTTTGGGGTTATATCCAGAAAATCATTGTCAGACCAATGTCACGGAGCTTTACATCTATGTATTCTTCTAACAGTTTTACCATTTCTAGTCTTATGTTTAGGTTTTTAATCCATTTTGAGTTTATTTTTGTATATACTGTAAGATAAGAATCCAGTTTCATTTTTCTGCATGTAGATACCCTGTTTTCCTAACACAATTTATTGAGTAGACGCTCCTTTCCACTTGTGTGTTCTTGGCACCTTTATAAAACACTATCTGGCTATATATGCCTGAATTTATTTCTGGGTTTCTATTTTATTACATTGGTCTAAGTGTCAAAACATTGGTCTAAATGCTAAAACATTTTTATTGCTATAGATTCGTAATACAGCTTGAATTCAGAAAGTATGATGCCTCCAGCTTTGTTGTTCTTACTCAAGTTTACTTTTGCTACTTGGAGTCTTTTAGGTTATGAATTTTAATATTTTGTTATTTCTCAAAAGAACACCAGATAGATTTAGATAGGGATTGAACTAAATTTGTTGATTACTTTGGGCAGTATAGACATTTTAACAATCTTAATTCTTTCAGTCCCTGAACATGGAATGTCTTTCAACTTATTTGTGTTTTATGTAATTTCCTTTATATCAATATTTTATATTTTTCAGTGGATGAGTCTTTCCCTTTTTAGGTTAAGCTTATTCCTAGGTATTTCATTACTTCTGTTACTACTGTAAACAGGGTTATTTTCTTAATTTGATTTTTGGAAAGTTTGTTGTTTGTGTATAGAACCAACACTAATTTTTGTGTGTTGATTTTGTATCTTGTAACTTTACTAAATTCATATTTTAGTTCTAACAGGTTTTCTTTTGTTTTATTTTTGGAGTCTTTATGGTTTTCTTTATAAATGATCAAGTTATCATCAAACAGAGACATTTTTACATCTTACTTTCTGATTTGGATGCTTTTTATTTGTTTTGCTTTCATAATTGCTTGGGCTAGGATTTCTAATACTGTGTTGAAGGGAAATGGTGAGAGTGGGCGTCCTTGCCTTGTACCAATCTTACAGGGAAGCTTTCAGTTCTTCCCCAATAATTATAATGTTAACTATGTGCTTTTCATTTGTGGCCTTTGTGCTGTAATAAGATTCTTTTATACCTATTTTGTTGAGATTTTAAATCACAAAAGGGTCTTAAAATTTGTCCAATACTTTTTCTGCATCAGTTAAGATAATCATGTGGCTTTTCTTTCATTAATGTATTGTATCATGTTGATTGAGTTGCATATGTTGAGTCATCCTTGCATCCCACTTGATCATGATGTATAATCCTTTAAATGTTACCAATTTTACATGAAATTTTTGCAACCATGTTTTTCACAAATATTAGCCTATAGTATTTTTTCCTATGGTGTCTGACTGATTTTGATATCAGGGTGATGTTGGCCTCATAAAATGAATCTGGAAGTATTACCTCTTTTACTTTTTCAAAGAGTTTAAGGTAACTTGATATTAATTTTTTGGATATTTACTGTGAGGCCATTAGGTCCGAGTTTTTTGTTGTTTTCAGGAAATTTTAAATGCTTATTAAATCTCCTTATTTGTTATTTTTCTATTCAGGCTTTCTATTTCTTCCTGATTCCGTTTTTATACTTCTTACAATTTTAGAATTTTATACATTTTTTTCTATGTTATCAAACTTTTTTGGCATATAATTGTTCATAATAGCCCCTTATGATATTTTTTATTTCTGAGATGTCCACTATAATATCTTTTCTTTCATTTTTTCTTTTATTTATTTGAATGTCATCTTTTTTTTTTTTTTGGATAAGAAAAGTGGAATAAACTTTAACCGTGGTATTTTTTTTTTTTTGAAAGAAAGAAAAAGAGAGAGAGAAAGGGGGAGAGAGAACAGGAGTCTTGTTCTATTGCCCAGGCTGGAATGCAATCTAAAAATACGTATTAAAAACCTCTTTTATGCCGATAATTGTGCTTAACAGACAGGAAGGAATAAGGGAAGAAAATAACTAACTAACAGCCAACCAATATTTCATTTAAGTCTGTGAAATGCTATGCAAATGCTGAAGAATGATTTACTTCCAATCACGTAGTCACTTTCAAAACAAGTGTAATGTTATACTGAGAAAAATGTATGTTCTGTGGACCTGGGGTGAAGAATTCTATAAATATTCACTGAGTTTACTTGTTCCAGGTCTGAGTTCAAATCATAGATGTTCCTGTTAATTTTCTATCTCATTGATCCGTTGAATATTAACAATGTGGTGTCAAAGTCTCCCGCTATTACTGTGCGGGAGTCCAAGTCTCTTTATCAGTCATTAAGGACTTGTAGGCTGGGCGCGGTGGCTCAAGACTGTAATCCCATCACTTTGGGAGGCCGAGGTGGGTGGATCACGAGGTCAAGAGATCAAGACCATCCTGGTCAACATGGTGAAACCCTGTCTCTACTAAAGATACAAAAAATTAGCTGGGCATGGTGGCACCTGCCTGTACTCCCAGCTACTCCGGAGGCTGAGGCAGAATTGCCTGAACCCAGGAGGTGGAGGTTGCAGTGAGCCGAGATGGCGCCATTGCACTCCAGCCTAAGTAACAAGAGCAAAACTCTGTCTCAAAAAAAAAAAAAAAAAAAAAAAAAGAACTTGTCTTATGTATCTGGGTGTTCCTACATTGGGTGCATATATATATTTATGATCATTGACTCCTGTTGTTGCATTGATCCTTTTACCATTATATAATGTCCTTTGTTTCTTTTAGTCTTTGTTACTATTGAAGTCTATTTTGTCCGAGACGAAAGTTACAACTCCTGTTTTTTTTGTTTGTTTGTTTTTGTTTTTGCTCTCCATTTGATTGGTAAGTCTTCCACCAACCCTTTGTTTTGGGTCTTTGTGTGTCCTTGCTTATAAGATGGATCTGGATGTAGCATAGGGATGGGTTTTGACTTTTTATTCAATTTGCCTGTCTGTGTTTTTGACTGGGGCATTTAATCCTTTTACATTTAGGATTTAATCAATTTAAATTTGTCTTTTTCTTTTCCAAATAGGAGGCCTTTTATTTCTTTCGTTTGCCTTATTGCTCTATCTAGGATTTCCAGTGCCACATTGAGTGGGACTGGTAAAATTGGGCATCCTGTCTTGCTCTAGTTCTTAGGAGAAATGTTTCCAATTTTTCCCTCTTCAGTATGATGTTGGCTATGGGTTTGTCATATATGACTTATATTATTTTGAGGTATATTTCTTGTATGCTTAATCTTTTAAGAATTTTTATCATGAAGGGATACTAAATTTTCTATATATATTGAGATGATATAGGTTTTTGTTTTTAATTCTGTTTATGTGATGGATCAAATTTATTGATTGGCTTTCCTTTTAAATATAAGTTTTAACTCTTTTCTTTATTATTGGACTTCAAGTTCTGGGGTCATTTATTTCTTTTCATATTTGATCATAGGTTGTTAGTAGCAGTCATGCCACATTTGAATTTTTTGCTACTTGGGAAATTTATCCTAGCAGATACCCTGAGTCATCACGCATAAGCTCAAATTTCTACAGATTCCCAGGGCATGGACAGAATGCAGCCAAGCTCTTTGCTAAGATGTAACAAGGGTGACCTTTGCTCCAGTTCCCAATAAATTCCTCATTTCCATCCAAAACCTTTTCAGCCTGGTTTTCACTCTTCCTATTTCTATCAGCATTTTAGTCAGAACTCTCAACCAACTCTTATTTTTAGATATTTTTATAGCAGTGCCACACTCCTCAGTACCAGTTTTCTGGGTGAGGCAATTTTTTGTATCACTAGACACTATAAAGTACTATCTGAGGCTGGGTAATGTATAAGGAAGTGGTTTAATGGGCTCAGAGTTGCGTAGGCTATATAAGAAGCATGGCACCGGCAACTGCTCTGCTTCTGTTGAGGACTCAGAGAGCTTTTACTCATGGCAGAATGTGAAGCAAG